CCCCCCCCCCCCCCCCCCTCCAACGCCACGACGAAACTCCGGCCGGCTCGGGAAACTCTCCCCGAACAAGGTGCTCCGGCTTGTGATCTACGTGGAGGGGGAAGACGAGGAGCACATCGAGCCGCATCTGGTGTTCCAGATGTACTGCGAATTTGGTGAGACGGAAGGGATGGGGGGCGGGCGGTTGGGGGGGCGGTAAGGGGGGGGGGTCGGGGACAGTTCTTCGCTGCACGTAACAAGCAACATCGGCCGTCACCGACCAACCTCTCTTTTCGGTTACACGTAATAGTAGCCAATTTTTCCGTCGCAAGTTTACGCCGGTGTGGTTACCGCTGCCGATGTCCTGCTCCCCCGCTTTTCCGCGTTCCCGTTCATTCCGCCGCCGCCGCCGCCACTGTCGCGTCGAATTTTTCAAGGGTACCGCAAGGTGCACCGGTTCTCTCTGCAGGACTGCGAGATCATGCATGCGGTGTTCGAGGGGGAGGGGGCGTCGCGTCTGTCGTGCCCCCCCGTTCAGCTGTCGCAGGTGATATGGTGTGGCATTTTGTGTGTGTTGTTTTTTTCGTCGCTGCTGTCTATCGATCGATACTGTGGCACCTTTCCCTATCGGTGAATTAGTTTGCAAGAACGACAATCGAGCCTGTTTACTTCATTTCCTGAATACCTGTGTGCGTAACACAGCTTGTATCAGATCTGTGCCTCTGTTGGCACCTACCTGCTGGACGGCACTGTTAAATTTTGCCGAACCTCCCCCCTCCCCTGCACCACTACCGTGTTTGTATTTTCTGCCGCGCGTTGCTGTTGTCCAGCTCCTGGAGCACATTCACGGGACGGCCGAGGTTGCGGTGGGCGCTTCCCACGACGTCCTCACGGTCCGCAGTTACCACCACCCGGTGAGGAGGAGAATCGTCTTGTGATGATCGTGATTATCATGGTCATCATTCATGATCAGGAGGAGGAGGAGGAAGAGGAGGAGGAGGAGGAGGGGAAGGAGGCGGGGGGGTAGGGGGCAGGGGGTGTACTCATAGTCGTGCATGCCGTAGGCATTAGATCAGTGTGCCGCGAAAGGGTCTCTGAGCTTCGCCCCAATACAACCATGCTACATAACGTCGTCTTTGATGGCGCCTTGCAAGTAGTACAATTGCTGCTGGGTATTTGGAGCGCCCTCGACAGCTCTACTTGGGGGCGGTTATGGGCAAGGCTCCGATGACATAGAATCAGGCGCGAGTTCTACAGCAGTATAGACCTGTTCCTTGGTGTCGCACTTGTGCCTCTTCTGCTGTTTTTTTTTCTGCACTGTGAGTCTATCCTTACGGTATGCGGCTCACGGCATGCAGTCCGTCGTTCATTCTCGAGGAGGAGACCGGCAGCAGCATACTCTAGGTCATGTGTCTCGAAAATGTTTTTGTTTTTGCAGCGTCGACCGTGCTTGCCGGCCGACCGACGAAAAGTGCTAGCTAATTCTTAGCGCCTATGTTGTCATTCCCCCAAACCAGGGGGGGGGGATCGAACGACCAGACGCGCACGCAAGGGTTGCGTCAATGTACGAGTCCAGCGTCGTGCGTGCTCTTGTTGAATCGGGACACTTGTTTGTTGGGTTAGTTTACCGTCCTTGTGTTGTGTCACCGCTCAAGTTTTTCTGTTTGCGCTCTCCGTCCGTCCGTCCGTCTGTCTGTCTGTCTGCCTGCCTGCCTCTGTCTGCCTGCCTCGGCCTGCTCGCTGTATTCCTGCCTGTCTTTCCGTCTGGTCCGACACTCTAGTTGACGGGAGCCGCGGATCGAGCGGTGCTCAAGACGGAGATGAGCATCAGCACGGCGGAGTTTGACACCTACAGGCAAGCGAGCCAGCGAGCCAGCGAGAGAGAGACACACAAGACACCGCGCACCCCAACAGCAGCACGACCGAAGAGAGAGGGCCGTTTTTCGTCTTCTGTTGTCCTGAGAGGGCGATTTGATCGCAGCGCAGCGAGCGTCTTTGTTGGGAAAGCAAATCACACAGCGGTAGCGGTAACTTGCCCCCCCCCCTCCGGAGCGATCTAACACCCTTGTGTTTGTACCGGTGTTTTCTTTCTGTTGTCGTGTTGGCAACCTTTTTCATCGTGACATGCTGCATCGTCATGCTGGTCGTCGTCGGGGTCGTCGTCGTCGTCGTTGTTGTTGTTGTTGTTGTTGTTGTTTTGTCTGCACGTGTGACACAGCAGTCCGTTCTGCCCTCTGCCACGACCAGTGCGTTTCGCACAGATCATACTCATTGATATTATTAATATTTTTCTAATACCCTTGCCGTGGCTCAAGGAAGGATCAACACAAGCTTGGCTCAACGAAGAACATCGACAAGACCCAGGCGCATCTGTGCGAATCACTGCGAAAGCGAACTGTGTTTCAAATACTCTGCCGTGACGCCAACAACCCTGTTTTTTTTTTTGTGTGTGTGTTTTTGTTTTCTTGCGGCAAGGTTCTGCGGCACAGAAGACGAAGAGGTGGAGCTCGTCTTCAGCCTCAAGGAGATTAAGGTCAGAATGTGGTACGCAGAGGATCACTGTGTGTTGTAGTTGGAGGCCCGGTCGTTGATGAGGGTTTGATTGTGTCTTGTGTCGAGTGTTTTTTGAGACCATGAGACCAAGAGTTTCAGTTGAGGTCGCCCCCGTGTCTGGCGACACTCTAAACTCGAGAGCTGTAGCACTGGAGGCCGACACCCCCGAGCCTTCCGTGTACGCTAAACGTGAAGACTGCTCTCATCTGTATCAGCGGTTGATGTCATACGCTATGGAATGTGCCGGATGCCCGCCGGAGTAAGACCCCGCCGATCAATAACCCCTGGGCACTTGGCGACCCTATTCAGACATCAATACCTATAGTTGAACCCGCACCACTAGAAGTGGCAACAGGTAGTTTTATCAACAGCCCCTTTGGTTCTTGTTTTTCGTCGCGGCCGTTTTTTCATCGTCGGGTGTATCTCCGTTTTCTCGCGGCACATTATCCCGAAGGCTCTCCTGCATTTCAGCGAGACCACGGAGGCGCAGACCCTCGAGATGCTCTTCCGGGAGGGCGGGGACCCCCTGCTGTTCCAGAGCCACTCCAAGACCTTCGCTGCGGAGCTGATCATGGCCACTATGGAGCCCAAGGTCATCCGCAAGGAGCCACCGCCGACAGCGGTAGCGGCGGGTGGCGCGAAGAGGGAACCGGGGACGGCGGCGGGG